GACTTCGGTATTATCTTTTATTAATCAGAAGTGAAATAAGACTTTAAAATTCAACATCTCTTAAACAAAACGTCACTTTAGAGAATTATCTGAACTTAAAGTTTTCTCTTGTTTCCTCTATTTTATAAAAGAATATAAAGAAGCTGTTGGAGCAAAATTAAGAACAGATTTTAATTTGATGGAGACACTCTTACACCTTATATTATACTTTCTCCATTTTAGAGAATATGTTGGATCAAAAAATTGTCTAAAATCTCAATTTTCTTTATTTTAGAAAAATTGTCAGAGATGCTCTAACCAGTTGTATATAATGTTTTTTATATTTTTTTTACTATATGTTCAATCAATTTTTATTATTAACCTAGATATTCAACCCGTTATACGAGCCGACTAATCCCAAGATAGCCCAGAGTCACCATATTTGAACATCCATGGCCACAAGAGGATTTTTATTCCTCCTTGGATTCGAACCTGGAACCTTTAGGCACTTTTGACATTTGGAGTCCAAGCTCAAACCAATGGTACCACCCTTGTGGTTTCAAATTTTATAATTTATCTATGCTATATTATAAAACATATGACAAAAACTCTTAAAAATTATTTTTTATGCATGAAGAACTGTTTATTGATGCATATTACTTAAAATTCAAAATTACAAATAAACTGTGCGTAAGTACAACTTATTAAAGCTTCATATTTGAATTCGTGTAATTAACTGCAGATAAACATAGTCAAATACAAGATAAACATTTCATTTTAAATATAAAAAATTTAAAATATAATTAGCATAATAATTGAGTTCTGACAAAATACTTAATCATTATCCTTATAAAAAATTATATTATTAAATCAAAAATAAATTATTTTGTTACTAAATTTAAATTAAATTATAATAAAAAAATAAATTAAATAAATTACACAAAAACAAAAAAAATTTAAATAGTTAATTTGATATTAATATATTGATATATTTATTTTTGAAATTTTATAATATCTTTAAATTTATATTTTATTCAAAAATAAAAATATTATCACTTTCTCCAAACCACATAAAAACCGTATGAAAACATCTACACAAACCGAATAAAATGAAACATTAAAATCAAGATATATCCCGCTGCATTGCACGATTACCCTTCTGGTACTAAATAGTAAATCCATATAAGCATTCACAATTCATGTTCTTTTCACATAAATGCAATAATAAATGGTAGGAATATTAACATCAAACCATAAAAAACTTTACTGTTTAAGATGAATTGACAACCGATATATAAATAGAAATAACGTCATCACCGTGTCATTTACACGTACAAGAAAGATATATTAGGAATTCTTAAACTGAATAACATCTCATATGTTTGTAAATTATACCATTTTTACGCCAACAGAATCAAAATCCGCTTTCTGTTATCTATTAAGAGTACCCTTGAGCCCCTCATCAGTCCGAGGTCATGTTACATTCAGTTCTTAAATTGAATAAAAAGACCATTCATCAATACTTAACGAATAAGCATTTATCGGATAAGAGTCACCGGCATAACTTATCTTACCATGTAAGGTTATTAATAAACATCATCATCTCTTATCAAGACGATGGTAAAAGTCATCACTCTCACTTATCATGTAAAAATCTTGGTCAGCAGAATAATACCATCATCATCTCTTACAGAAGTCTGTAAGCGCTGACCCAGTAACAGTAAAAGTCACCACCCTCACTTATCAGGTAAGATGTTTGGTCAACAAAATGGTACCACAAAATTATTAATGAGCACCGTCATCTTTATCTCTTACTCAGCAAGAGACAATAAATATTTGATAAACAATCCATAAATATATATTTTTTTATTAACCTGGATATCCAACCCGCTATGCGAGCCGACTAATCTCAGGACGACCACCTGCTTTGCAAATAGCCCAAAGTCACCGCATTTGAACATCCGTGGTAGAGATGGCCAAAAACCGGTCCCGGGCCGGTCCCAATCGGTCCTCACCATTCTCATAACCGGCCATAACCGGTCCCAGCGTAACCGGTCCCGGTGTCGGTCCCGGTCCCGGTCGAAAATGATAGGACCGGTATAGGCACTTTATAACCGGTTATGGGCCGCCGGTCCCAACCGGTCCTTCATTAAAAAAATAAGATTTTTTTTTAATGATATATATTTTTAATACATTATAAAATTTACAATTGGGTCACTCAAATACACTTTAAAAATGCGTTTTAATATAATTAAAATTACGTTTTCTTATAAAAATACATTATAAAATTATTTAAAAATACATTTATTTATAAAATTAATTGAATTTTCGGGCCGGGCCGGGCCGGTCCATAGTCAGTCCCATAACCGGTCCCGGTCCCGGTCGGTCCCGGTCCCACGAAACTACCAAAAACCTCAACCGGTCCCGGTTTTCGGTCCTTACCGGTCCCGGTCCCGGGCCGGTCCCACGTCGGCCCCGGTCCCGGTCCTCCAGCGGTCCCGGGCCGGGCCGGGACCCATTTGGCCATCTCTAATCCGTGGTCACAAGGGGATTTTTATTCCTCATTGGATTTAAACCTGAGACCTCCTGATACTTTTGACCTTTGAAGCCAAACTCAAACCAATCAGTCATCACCCTTGTAATTACAATCCCTAAATATTCCATTTGATTATATTGTAAAGACCCAAAATTCAAATTTATATAAATAAATAAATACTAAATTGAGTAAGCCCAAATAAAAGAAAATTGAGTTTTGTCTTGTTTGATTAAGCCCCATAATTTATGCAAAAATTGATATATAATAAACAATAAGACATCTCTCTTTTTGATGCATGTGATTCTTAATTGAGGGATGCATGCTTTGTCTTGATTATTAAGCAACATTTGAAAGTCCTGCCCACAAACATTAAACTATTGCACCTTAAATTCTTGATTGATTCTCCTCTCATTTTACATTTCAATTTCAATATGGATAAGGGTTTTATATAGTTAAACCATCCACTCCATTTCCTTCAATATACAGCGTCAGTTTATCAAATACTTACCAGATAAGCGTTTATTGGTAAGAGTCACCACTTTCATTCGTTCCCAGCCATCGAAATGAATTGTTTCTAAACGCCTCTTACTTTTGGGTATGATTCTTCTCCATCACTTCCACATAGGAACATCGGTTGTAGACATGTCTCTTGCAAGTAAAATTTTTGGTCCTTATCATGTTCATCTGATAAGCGTGTGATAAACGATACCTCGATTTGTTATTAAAAACATTATCTTTGGTAACTATTTTACAATCTTGTAACATATTTTTTTGATTAACTTGGATATCCAACCCGCTATGCAAGCCAACTAATCCCAGGACGGCCACCTGCTTTGCAGATAGCCTGGAGTCACTGCATTTGAACCTCTGTGGCCACAAGAGAATTTTTATTCCTGCTTAGATTTGAACATGGAACCTTCTGGTACTTTTGACCTTTGGAGCCAAGCTGAAACCAATCAGGCACCACCCTTGTGGTTAATCTTGTAACACATTACCATAAAGTACTGATGTATCACATTAGTAAAATTCGTTGACGTGACAAACAAGCAATTGCATTTAAAATCCCGATGCGGATGTTCATAATGTAGCGTTCGAGGGTTACTTACGAAGACGGATATCGATTCTTATTTAAGAAATTCTACAAGCAAAAATTGATTAGGGTTTCTTTTCACAAGTTAGTTAGGACTTTTAAAGGGTGAGTGGGTTGGGTTTGACTCATAAAACACCCAAGAAAAAATCTAAGTGTTAGGTTCATCTTCCTCTCTTGTTTTCTCCTCTTATCTACTACTTTGGTTCACTTTTAGACTTCACACCCAACTTCCAATTAATATTCATCAAAATCCAAACAATTTCTTGCTTTTTGCATTGCAAATAGTCTATGCCACCATTCAATACTTTCACACACCCTTCTACTATCAAGCCATTGACAATGGCTCCGGTATTGATGAACAGTACGAGACATCATAGTACAAAAACGTGTCCCACGTTTGGAGCTACATTAAGCTAGAACAGCAGTGGGGCAAAAATGTATTCTTTTTTTTTTTTGTAATGGTAGGTATCCAAGCTAGCTTATACACACCGACTAATCCCTTGGGCGACCACGAATGGCATGAGTCATTGCAGTTGCAGGTCCTAGATTCGAACCCAAGATGATTTTTCCACTGTATCCCCTGAGCCCTTAATCAATACGTCATAACTCAAGTGGTTACACAAAAAAAATGCAAAAATGCATTATGTACCCCAAGATTGGTGGAACAACGAGAAGAAATAGAGACGAGATTGGTAAATTACTAAACTACACATGGGGTTATTTAGTAGTTATTGAATGTTTTGATACAGAATGATCAAGTGATCAGAATAATTAAGAGGCTCTCATGATATAGTGCAAAATGAAATATAATTGTTTGATAATTGGTGGAACAAGAAAAAACCTCTTTTGTCCCATGTTATCCCACCTTGTCTCAATTCTTGTCCCTGTCTCATGTCGCGCCAAATGTGGAACAATGAATTCTTATTCTGTCCCATGCTGCGCCAAACATGGGACAGTGGGTTTTGTCCCGTCTTGTCCTGTCTCGTCCCATGTACCAAATGCAGCCTTAATGGTTAAGGGAAGCCCATGATACAAAATCACTCGGGGTTTTAAAACCATTAAGAGACATACTTTTTTTGTCAAACAAGATTCGCCTCTTAACAATTCAGAGACTACCTATTAATGGAACTATGAAGAGAAACAAACAACCCCTATGTCAAATTAAAACCCTAAATTCTTCCTGAACTCACCTGTTCAGTCTTGACCAGTCCTGTCCACTCATGGTTCACAAAATTTCACTCTTATAAGTACTTCTATCTCCTCCAAACAAGCTTTTGCTCAAACAAACCCCATCAAACCAGTCTCTTGTTTCTTGGTTTTTTTTAAATTTATGGGTGCAGTAAACACAAACACTTGCTCAAATCATGCATCAAACTTTGCAGATAACTTGCATCATGCACAACAAACTATCTTATAGCATGTCACATTATTTTTGTTATGACAAAATCTTCATACATGAATGGTTGGAACCCAGTAATAGAAGAGACTTTTTGCCTCTTCTTTCAAACCAAAAATCCAAATTTAACCCAACAAAATCTAAGTTTCATCTGAATTCAGACTAATAAAACCCCAAACCCCAACAAAACGACTGGTCAAACCCCCGATTTTTGGTCTTTTTAGTAAATACATGAGTTATTTCAAAGACGGTATGATGTCCACCGACTGATCCCGCTGAAAAACTCCGAAAAAGTTACAGGGAATACGTATCAAGCCTTGAAAATTGATGGGATTGCCTTAAATTATTCTTTTGTAAAGCAGAAGGCATCTAAAAATGTCCTTATTATCCATGGTTATCAGGTGTATAGATTACCTTGAAAGATTCACAAAGTGTAGAAGCAAGATAGTACCCGATTTTGGCACTTTGAAGTGGTCACACCACTAACGAAATTTGCTGCTGACCGAGTCATATGTTGGTACATTTGTAACTGGCAAAACATGGATAAGTTAAGTAGGTCATAGGTGAAAAAGGGGAAAATCAAGTAAAAACCACTCAAATGTTACGAACCCGTGAAAACCATTCCCACCCATTCAATGAATTTCATCTTAATCTAGGATTCAAGGTGTTTCACATGTGTATGTGTGTGTTTCATATGCGAAACATATTTATTTATTCTTTTTTCACATGTGAAATGATCCTATATGTTGTGTGTGAAACCATACATGGAAACTTGTTTTCACGGTTTGCAACCTTTTTACGGTTTTTATTTTAATTTTCCTAGGACAAAATAGTATAAAAAGAGGAGAAAAGTTGACTGTTTTATCATTAGCGGAAAATTACCATCTCCATGAGAAGCCATGGTGAGAGGAGAAGAAAGAAGCTTTTTCGCAATAGAAGTGATGTCGTTGGCCGATACTTCATCGATAGCTTTCAGGAAATACTCCACAGGTTTCCTAAAGAAGATTAAAACGATTACAAGGTCAGGCTCGAGATTATCAAGACAGATTAACAGTGGAAAGAGAAGACAGGAATTATTAAAAAAATACCTTTCCCCGTATGTCAATATTTGTCTGCCTATATCTTCTGAAGCAACCATCTGCATATGAAGACCAGTTATGAGCACATTAAACATGAGCTTGTATTAACTGATCAGTTGACTAGTAAAACACGAGCTAAGTTACATACTCTCGACTCAAGGGTCATCAGAATGGCGGACTTGGTTGACTGCTTGGCACGATTCAACTGTACCTGGTTGACTGAAAGACGGGTATTATATCAGTAAGGATGGGTTCAAACGAGAACCATAAATATTTTGAGAACCTGAACCAACGATTCAATGCTTTATTAATGTTGAACATCGTGATAGATATTCATGATGAAAAATATTCATAATTAAAATGCATGATATTCACGATGTATAATATTCAAGTATATTAAGGATTATTCATTATGAATAATACATGAAATAGTTGGTTTGCATGTTCTCAAAAAGATAACAGCACTCAAGTGTCTTGGTTGAAACTTTTGCAGCAGAAGAGAACATTGGCATAAAACTCGGAAAAAGTAGTTAAAGCATGCCAAATAGTTTACCTTCTCCGTTAGTGGCAACTGCAATGAGTTGTTTCACTGCAACATCAATGGCTTTTGATACAAAATCAGAACTCTGCAATATACTGATCGGCATCAGTGATTGAAGCAATATAGAAGAGAAAGTTCGTTTTCACCCAAAAAAAGGGACAATCGTTGGACATAAAAAAAAAAGGAGGAGAAAAATAGGAGACACGTTTGAGCAGGCCAAACAGATGAAATTAGACTTGGAAGGCGGGATTTCAACAAAACACATCATTGCAAATTGTCTAGTCTTAACCATAATAACAACCAATTGTCAATGACCATGCACCAATACAGAAGCACCATCGCTCAATTGACAGAATAAATAGTGTTAAAGAGAAAATATATTGAGACAGTCTTGGTATTCATCTTGCTGGTAGCCTAATTAGTAGCTAGTACTATCAGCATTGATTTCACAAAGCATACAATCTTGGATATGGGTTCTGAAGAATTTTGATCAGCACTTGACAGAAGAACTTTCTACGTTTCATAAAATTGAAGATACAGCAAACAAAATCTATAGATAGTAACCTTTAGGGTGTGTTTGGTATCTGGACTGAAGAGGACAGGACAGAACAGATGTTCAACATTTGGTAAGAACAGAACTGGACATGACATAATAGATAAAATGACCAATTTGCCCCTAATGAGGTGTTTATATATTTTGATTAATTTATGTAATTCATTAAGTTATAAGAAAATAAATAATTTTTATAACAAAGTATATCAATAGAAAGTTTTCGTCAAGACGATTAAACATGACATTAAAATAAAAGGTTTATGTAGTTTCCAATTTTTATGTTATTTCCTTTCTATATTATTTTTTATTATTAATATTTAATAAATTAATCAAAATATAGAAAAAGTCAAAAAAATAATATTTTGAGGACAGTAAAGTGAAAGTTTAAAGAGCATAAAATACAATAAATAAAATTTAAAGAATGAATAAAACGTAAAGAGGGAGGTGTATATGATGTTTTAGAAGAGAATTAGGTTTTATTTTGAGGTTATCTTGGTAAAATATAGATTTGTTCCACCTTGTTCCATTGGGTGGGGGGTGGAACCCGCCTATTCCACTTTGTTCATGTTTGTTCCACATAAAACCATGTCAAATGTAGAACAGTGATCCATGTTTTGTTCGATCCTGTCCAGTGTACCAAAAGCGACCTAAAGGACTAATGAATCTAAATAGTGGCCTCAAAGCTAACACAAATATTGTTTAAAACAGAATCATATCATAAACAAATTATAAGACAAATTTTGAACATATATTTCCCTGCATCATTGCTAAAACTAGAGAAGGATAACCTCAACTAAGTAATTGAAATGCTAAAGCTAGAATTATAAGAAATGGAGTAACTGGAGGTGGTCGAACCATGAAATTGAATGGTATCCCAGTGTCATTTTATTTGGAATATAGTGAAGGAAAGAAACACATTTTGTGTTGACAGATTAATGGATGCACATATAGACATCTTACTAAAAGGATTAAATTGTCACAGAAATAAAATAATTGAAAACTAACAGATGTCTTACTGTGGTAGCTTGAATTCCGAATAAGGCAGTGTGATTATAGATTGAGTTGAATGCTGAAAATGACTGAATCTCAGGGTACTCATTCAAGACTCCAAGATCTGCTCACAACAGTAATCCAAAATTAACTATGTGTGAGCAAAGGTTAAAGCACTGAAAGGTTAAGCAAGTGCGATAACTAAAAATTGTAAACAGAACAGGACAAAGAAAGCAAGATCACAAATCAACATATTTGATTTAATATACCCTTGGCCAAAAATCTGACAACTTACCTCTTAACAGTTACACCAGTTCTATTGAGCAAACATAGTAGCATCATGACATTGATAATATCAATACTGGTTACTAGTCGCTTATATTGGATTTCTGCCATATGTGTAACAACTCTGCTCCCCTCAGAACATTTACAATATAAAGGCATTGTCTTAAACTCCTAAAGTGACTACCACTTTTCGCTAGATAACAAATTTGATGGCAGTATGAAATTTTTCAAGTTGAATTGGATAACATCTTTAATGAAATTCTCTGTACCACTAAGGTTGCATTCCACCTCCATGCAGTCGTGCACTCTCAATTTTTGCTACTGCAAATGAGAATACCTACATGCCAAACATTCTTAAACTTAATAGGTCATAACTGAGAGAGTGTCTTGTAAAATGTCAGCCTTTTTCATTGCAATACATAGTTGACTGCCATCAATGGGAGTTCTCATTACAAGATGATTCCACTGAAACCAACAAATTTCGCATAATTGTCGGTCCCTATAATTCTGCAGTGAATGGGATTTCACAAGTTTGTCATGTGATGGTTCTATCTAACCTCGCACATTTTTTGTTTAAACAAATATTCTACTACAGTTCTGTCATATGACAAGAATAGGGTGAATGATGTTGCCTCGAGAATCCAGAGTCTTATGTCATCAAAAAATCTACTTTAGTTGAAGGATATGTTTATTGGACAGCATTTGCACCTGATATGATTCATGAAGTTAATATACATAAACACAAGATGAGAGTACAAAAATATTGGGGTTATTTGTAGGGCACTTTCAAAACATCTACAGAAGCATAATTATATGATATGCACTTGTGTTCCATTTCATAATTGTAGTACAAAGAAAGCTAAGTGTGTCATGTAACTCACAAAGCCGCGAGTACATCCCTTTTCCAGGACCGCCAGCTGAAAAAGATCCACCTCCTCCCATTAGCATCTGTAAATAAAATAAATCGTTAATTCCCTGCATTCATCATCAGTTGACATTCCATAAAGTTCAAGAAGAAAACAAAAGGTCAAGCAGACAAAAGAGATTAATAGGAAAAAGTAGTTAAGTCGACCGAATTAAGAAGTATAATTGCTGCATCCATTAAATAAATGAAAGAGGATACTGGAAGTGGAAAAACTACCTGCAGAACAGTCAAGGTCATGGCTTCCTTCTCCTTAAGCCAGCCACCAGGAATTTCGAATGCAAGAGCAAAACTAGTTCTCTGATAACAAAGAGAAACCCGGTCAATGCATCAGAAGGGAAGAACAAACAGATATCTGATGGATAGAGAAAGACAAGATAACTGTGCGGTCAACTTAAGAGACACACCCCTGTATCAGCCATAACACGATGATCACCTCCAACATACACTGACTTTGGCTCCTCAACCTGACCACCACCTGGCAAGTCAGAGAGAAGAGGTTCTGCATATTTCAACAGTTCCTCGTGCTCAACACCTGATGCAACAAGCACCATTCGAGGAGCAGTATAGTTTGCCTAAAATTGTGAAGCAAGACGTTTTTCAGGAACAGAATCCACATGTAATTAATAAATATCTCAAAAGGATCAAAGTAATACAAGGTACTAGAAAAAGCAGTTCGCTATTTAAAATCTACGGTAGGAGACTCACGGCAACAAATTCCTCCAAAACTGAACTGTTTAATCTGTTAAGTAAACCTTCTGAGGCAAGAAGAGGATTCCCAAGTGGACCAGAATATCCAGCTGAATGAATTGCTTCTAACAGCAAGGCCTCAGGATTGTTGTGATATTCACCAATCTCAGCTTTAACTTTTTGAATCTGCAAAAATATTGTAACGTTTTAAATTAAGGAAATATCCTGAAGATATCACAAAAATATAGTATCAGAAATGAAGAAAATAAGAGGGCACCTGTTCAGCGACCTCCCAATCCAAGAAAGCTTGATTTCTTGCACAGTCAACAAGTAGCTCTACCATTTGAGGAACATAAGCCTTAAGGGCATCATAAGTGTAACCCATTTGCTCCCTAGAAGCAGAGGCTGTCACATTGCCACCAATTGCTTCCACTTCCCGCACAACGCGCAAGTGGCTTCGATTAGTTGTGCTTTTAAAAGCCATACGTTCTAGAACATGCGTAGCCCCAAATGAAGCTGGTGTTTCATATATTGAGCCACTATTAACATACAACCCAACAGAAGCGGCTGGGTTCTATACAAAAAATTAAAAACAATTGATCATTAACAGCATAAAGCTTAAAACAATGACCAACTCATTTAACGTTATATTATTCAATTCGATTTATGTTCTTACTACAGGAGAATACAAAAGAAATTATGTTTCTACCTTTCAGAAAGAAACATAAGGCTCCTTTAAGCCCAAATGGTTTAATGTATTCTCAAAGTGCTACACCAACCGGGGGTCTTCTCTCTAACCCTTGGGGTAGAGGGAAGGTGTGTATGTGTATACATCCTTCCCCGCCCAGACCCTACCTAAGCGTGGGATTTACTGGAGTCGTTTGGTTTGGTTTGGTTTGGCTTTTTATGGTGCAACACAAGCCTCTTTTGCACTTGACATGTTTCTTAACAGCGATATGCTTATTCACTATTATTCAAGCAATGTCAAGTCAAGATGCACTCTAGAAGCATTCTTAATATTTTGATCCAAAATCTGTCCCAATTAAGCAAAACTGCAAAACCTAAAGATAGGTTTAGAGAGCTTGAGACTTCCAACCAATCTGAATTTAACCATGGTAAGAGACACTGAAGGCTAAGCCTTTGGAAAATATAAATACATATAGTGCCGACTTACTGTTGAAGTTTCTGAGGCGATTTTGACACCATTTGGGAGAGTTGTTATCTTTGTCTTTCCCTGTTCAACATGATCAGGTAAAGAAGGTGGGAGTTCAATACCCTTAAGAGGAAAGTCTAAAGGAGGAAGGTTTGAACCACTTCCTCCAGTAAACCAGCTAAAAAGACCCCCTGATGATGACTTGGCTGCAACAGCACTTGAACTTGCAAACCTGGTTAGTGTCCTTTTGCCTGCATGGCCCTGTTGCATATCCCAACTTCAGCAAACAATATTATTTTTTAACTTAATTTTATCATTAACTATTACAAAAAATTTGATAATGATCATGCCTACAACCATGTAAAAGCCCCCGCTAATTCTAGTATTTGACGGAAGGGCGTTTCGATTTATAGATGCAAAAATCTATTTCGTATTTTGAACAATAAAAAAGTTAAGATGTCCCTCACCGATGACCCGTGCCATGGTCCATTACCACAGATCTAGATAATTACCTCGAAATATCTTATCTTCCTATTTAAAGGTCAGATTTTTTGTCTATTACAGGAGAAACATTCAAACCTCCAGATATAAACATGTATAAAGATGTGGAATACCCAAAATGCAAAAGCACAGTAAAGCATGATACTCTACTCTGCATGAATGAAAGTCAGATAATGTCTTTGAATAGGTACCCCATTGCATTACAACTATTTACTGTTCAGAGTTTCTCATATTTGCCAGAAATTTTTTGAAACTTCAGTTGCCATCCATTAGGTCTCATGTTTTGTTGCCTGCTTGCACACACCCTCCGCCAATTTTGCATAGGATTTACCAGGTTTATCTGGTATGAGTTGGTTTACAAAAGGTCGTATAATTTAGTAAACGAAAAAGGACATGAGATTGGAATGGGAAGCCGTAGTTTAAAACTCTCTTTCTCTATAACTATCTTTAACAGATTAAGTGCTCTATATCCAATGAATACAGTAACTAACAGTAAGATCCACCTCTACCACCATTCACACCAACACAGCATGTCAGGTATTTGTGCATCGTCTTTTTTTGCCTCCAGGAACTTCATTTGTCATTTCCATAGCTCTTTCTGTATGTACCGCATATACACATGTAAACAGTTCTTGTCCATAACAGGATTATGGATCCTTAAATTACCCACAGCAAATAGCAAAAAACCTCCTTTTAATATAAGTTATCTATATTCCCCAATTCCCCCATATTCGAGGAACCTTTATGTTAATTTAATGAGTTCTTTCTTGTATAATCCTTGTGTACTCATGTAAATATGAGTATTCTATCTCATACTGTCATACATTGAGCTAAAATGACAATTTGTCTTCTTTCTTTATACCATTTAAAGCTTTCACATTTACCCGAACTTCTCTATCTGCCATCAGTCGAACATTTTATAATTATTCTGTTCCTAATTCCCACAGTTGGTTTACTACGAATACACACAAAAATCATCAAACTACAAGTGTAGAAAATACATCACGATCAGATCTAAGAACCCTAAGATGCAGGTAATAACATGATTCGATAACAGAAAACATGAATTTTTTTTTTTTTTTGAAATTTCGAATCAATCGGTTAAACAATTACTTCACAATCAGGATGTTAGCTATGTAATAAACAAAAGATTAATGAATATAACCAACCTTTAGGGTTCTGATTTTGGAAGCTGCAGGTCGATACATGACAATCGATGAGTAATGAGAGATGAAAAGAAGAAATTGTGGTCAGTGGATCCTGTCTCCACTGCTTCCCTCTCTATGACGTAGCTGCCGAACCAAATTGAGAGGTGATTGGGCGACGATTTGGGTGGGGAGAGGGGCGGTTGAGAGGCGAGAAGGAAGAGGTGAATGGTGTTACCACACGTGAGAATTATTCTCACGGCACGTGTGAGATCTTCTCTTATTTTGATGAAAGATTTTGCATCTCCATTAATTTTATGAAAAATAAAAATAACTATTTTCAGTGTTTGGATTTATTTATTAGTTATTTTTCTGTCTAAATTTTAAAAGTATCATCATCTTTGTAGGTGACATTAGGGGTGTTCAAAAACTCGACCAACTCGATCAATCCAATCCAATTTAACGCGAAATAACTCAACCCGAAGTAACCTGATGTCTAATCGAGTTGTAAAATTATCAAACCGTAGGTATTGGGTTGATATTGGGTTACTATTATTTGAACCCAACCCAACCCGATGAACCCGATATCCTTTTATTTCTTGGATTTAATATGATTATTGAATTTCTATTAATATACATTAGACAAGTACACTATCATGTACGTTTTTCATATACACATATTTTCGATCTATTCATATCTCTATATAACTCATTCATATATGTTCAGTAACTGTGATGATATATATATATATATATATATATATATATGTAAATTGAGAAAATTAATTGAATGTGATATACATGAGAAATATGAATAAGTTGTATCAAATGGTTGATGGTGAAAAAGAAATTATGAGTAGAGAAAATAACATATTCAAGTTTAGAAGAATATTTTAATATACCAAAGTATCAACTCGACCAACCCGAACGGGTTGAGTTGGGTTGCAATTTGGTTTGGGTTGGATTGAGTTAAGATTTTTCCAAACCGCAAGCATTGGGTTGGGTTATTCAAATGTCTTCAACCCGATCAACTCAACCCATTAGCACCCCTAGGTGACATCTCCTCAATTTACAGAAGGGTCAAAATGTAAAAAAAATAAAAAAATCTGAACCAAGTTCTTAAACAAGGATTGTATCTGTAAATTAGATAAAGGTTCGTAATTCCGCCACTTGCGGAAGTGTGGACAAATTTACAAATTTGATTCTACACTTGCGGACTTGGTTTAGAAACATCTTTCTTTTTACACTTTGACCCCTCAACAAGTTGAGGAGTTGTTACTTGTGAAGATAGTGATATTTTTGAAATATTGAGAAAGAAATGGCTAAGGCGCCGTTTACCTAATCACTTACTCAGTAAGCGTTTACCTGTGAAATTCAATACTATCGCTTACTTATCAGGTAAGATTTTAATCCATGGAAACAACATCGTATGCAACAATTTACCCGGTAAGCATTAAGGGGCTGTTTGTTTGCCTCTTAATGGTGACATTAAGAGGCAGCCTCTTAATCGTTAAGAGGCAGAGGCTGTTTGGCAAAAAAAATAGAACCTCTTAATGGTGACAATTGGCTCTTAACCATTTTGCATCCTATACCTCACTAAACCATTAAGAGGTTCATTTTTCCAACTATGCCCTCCTTTCCCAAATCATCACCGTCTTCTCGTCTTCTCCCCCCATCTCCTTCTTGAAACATCATGAACCGTCTTCTCCCCCCATCTCCTTCTTCCCCCCTCCATCACCGTCTTCTCGTCGCTCGCACATAACTACCAACAGTACACATCGCCGGTCTTCCCTCCCCCCTCGTCGCTCGTCGCCTCGTCGCCTCGCCGCCTCGCCGCTCGTCGCCTCGCCGCCTCGCCTGGTCGCTCGTCGCTCGTCGTTCGTCGCTCGTCGCCTCGCCGCCTCGCCTGGTCGCTCGTCGCTCGTCGCTCGTCGTTCGTCGCTCGTCGCCTCG